GTGAGGATCTGAAGATTAATGGCATACCGCGATAACAAAAATAAACAAGAGATCGAGAAAAAAAAAGAAGAACGCCCGGGCAATATTGTTTTATAACTCACACGTCTCGTTAAAGCATTTTGGATGTTTTTCCGAATCGGTGTTAATTCCCTAGGGTGTGACGAGGGCGCCGCTTCTGCATAAATGAGTCTTTATGAATATGCAAACACAAGGAGGACCAGAAATATAATTGAAAACAGCGAATGCATTAGTTTCGAATATATGAAAAGGATTGATGGATTGTTAAATACGATCAGGATAGATATTACGTTGCAAAATGCTAAACAAGAATCTAATCTTTTCTAATCTATTCTAATAACTAATGATTTCGGTAAATATCTTCCTTTGCATGAAGTAATCTCTTTTGATGGATCTATTTATCTTTAAGAAACGTTTTCTTTTTTGGTAATCCAATCAGTGTCTCTAATGCGTCAAAGTTTCAGGTCTCGTTTCCCTGAATTTGATTTGCATTTGGACAAGAATTGATCTTCGTTTTTATCTTTCTCTTTCTGTTTGTCTGTTTTGTTTGATTATTTGTTTGTTGGTCTGTCTGTCTGCCTCGATTTTTCACTTCTTTTTTATTCTCTCTCATTTTCTTTCTTTTCTACCCTTCTTTGTGATTTCACGTTTTTTAGGTTTATATTTCTCTGTCTGTATGTCTGTCCTTTTCCCTCTCAAATCTTTCTCTTTCTCTCTTATTCTCTCTCTCTCTTTCTCTTTCTCTCACAATCTATCTATTTCTTATCGTATCTTTCTCCCCCTCCCTTCTCTCTCTCTCACAGCCTATCTATCTATTTCATCTCGTATCTTTCTCCCCCTCCCTTCTCTCTCTCTCTCTCACAGTCTATCTATCTATTTCTTCTCGTATCTTTCTCCCCCCCTCCATCTCTCTCTCTCCCTCTCCTCAGACCGGATCTTCCCAAAGCGTTTTCCTTTTCCTCGCCCCCCCCCTCACGACCATGTCCCATCCCCAATAACTCCATTGCCTTTGTTACGATAGACCTCCTCCCCTCCTCTCCCCCCCCCTTCCTCTCTTCCGTCCCCACCTTCATCTTCCTCCCTGTTTTCTCTATGTTCTCCATCTCTTCCCTTCTTCTCTCTCCCTTCATTCCTCGACTCCCTCCCTTCTCTCTCATTCCATCCTTTCTCCTCCTTCACCTACCCTCCCCTTCTCTCACCCTCTCCTCCTCTTCCCTCTTTCCCATCCATCCCTCCCTCTCTCCTTCCCCTTCCCCTTCCCTCCATCCCTCACCCTCTCCTCCCCTTTCCCCACCCTCACCCTTCCCTCCCCTCCCTCTCCCCCATTCCCCACCCTCCCCCTCTCCTCCCCTTTCCCCCCACCCTCCCCCTCTCCTTCCCCTTCCCTCCCCATTACCCAAGTTCTGAGATCGATGTGCGCGGGCGGCATGATAGCTCTTGGACCTAAAAGCCAGCTCGCCTGCACACCTTGTCTCGCGAGGGTTTTGGTTATGGATGGTTGTCTCTCTCCTTTCTCTCTCTCTCGTTCGTTTTCAATGTTTTTTTTTTCTTTCTCTTATTTTTTTCTTTTTTCTCTCTTTTTTTTTATTCCTGTTTTTTTCTCCCATTCTATTTTTTTTCTCTTTGTTTGCCTCTCTTTTTTTTCTTTTTGTTTCCCTCTCTTTCATTCTGTCTGTTTCTCTTCTCTCATTCTTTCTCTCTGTTTCTCTTTCTCTTTCTTTCTCCGTTTTCTCTCCTTTTTATCCCGTTTCTCTCTCTTTTTTTTCTCATTCTGTCTCCCTGTTTCTCTCTCTTTCTTTCTCCGTTTCTCTTTCTCTCATTCTTTCACTTTTTTTTTATTTTTTTCTCCCTTCTTCTATCTTATTCTTTCTCTCTTATCTTCGCCTCTTTTACTTTGTTTATTTCTTATTCTTCTCTTTTATCTATTTCTTTTTATTTTTCTGTTCTTTTCTTTTTATTAATATTTCTCTGTAATATTCTTCCGTTTCTTT